TTAGCTGGCTGATGCGGCCGCCTCCACACAGAATAACACCTCCAGCATCCATCCTTTATTGCAGCTGCACGATGTCTCTCAGCGACGTCCTTTAACTTGTCTACATTTGTTCAGTTGGAAGAAAAACAAATAATAGCATTAAAAAACTGGAGGGCTTTTTTTTCCATCTTCACACCAATGTTTTATCCTTTGGGTTAATTTCCTGCTAGGCTCACAGGTGGATTTCCAAAATGGCGTCGCTCCTATTCAGCTCTGAGTTTTTCCACACAGCTGTGTGTTTGCAGAGGCTGCTGAGGGCCCCTCAGAGCAAAGAGCGGAGCCAAGAAACTGTCTGGCCACCAACAGTAAACTATGTGTTTACAGCAGGGCCAGGGTCACTCTGGGCACGCTCAGTTCACCTGCCTGCGATGATAAAGGGGCTGATGTCAGTACAGACAGGCAACTTAAACATGAAGGAGCAGAGAAGTGAGATTCATGCAGCTTTTTATGAGAAATCTGCTCTTTATTCAGCAAAAAATATAAATCCAGCTACAAATCTGTAAATACAGTATTTTTAATCTCCAAAGAGAGGAGGAGCTCCCTACGTCCCTCTTCGTGTTCACCTTGGGTTCAAACATTAATAGACCTTGTATGGGGTCCTTATATTCGCCCACTGAGCTCCTGAAACGGATGTATTCAATAGGAGGCATTTCCAGTAATCAGGAGTAAAAAAAACAGAAATTAAGAAACACTTCAAGGGCAGATTCATTGTTTTTACTGAGTGATATGAAGAATTAACCCGAAATAACATCTATATTCATAATATTTATGTAAAAAGTTGAGTTATATAATATCATATTTGCCTGTTGGGAAAAAATACCAATTTAATTAAATCATTAAGTAAAAATATTCATTATTATTTAATTTTACTTTATTTTTAGAAATGATATAGATAGTAGTGACCTCACTGTCTTATATCGTCCTTGTTGGATGCTTTTTCAGTTGTTACATGACCTCCTTGTTATTGTTGTTATGCAGGGGAACCAACTCGATGTCCTCTTCCTCGCTGGCTTCTATTTATTCTCTTTTTTAACCTCAGAGTTGTTTTTGTCACTTTATTCTGCCTCTTTTCTTCGTTTCCTCCTCTATCTGCTCTCTCTTTTTTTTCTCCCTCATCCTCTCCCTGTCAGCAGGGGGTGTAATGCCACGCTCTAAATAACTTTATTGACATCCCAATCGGTTGTGGATAACAGCAATTATCCCAGCCCTTTTTTTTCTATGTGCTTCCTTGCTGGTGGGGAGCAGGCGCACTTTAAAACCAGCTGTCAAACACAAACACGCTCCTATTTTTAACATGTTTGCTCTGACTTTCACTCCTGTTTTGATAGAAAAGCAGAGATGGAGAGCATGTGCACTTAGGAACCGTCTTTAACAGGCTTTCTGGAGCATGAAGAGGCTTACTGTGGTTTTCTCCCCTCCTATACAGGGAGAGCAATGTAGCAAGACTATGTGAAGTTGGCTTCTTTAAAGCTGAGTGGCCGTAACTCATTGCGCTAGAATGTTTGCTCTCTCTTATCCTCTAACAAATCTCCATGGTTACGCTTCTTTGCAGAGAGCAAGGTCATGAAATACTGAGTTAAAGCTCCAACCATCGAGCGTTTTTGTCAGCAGAGGATTAGTTTTTCCACCTGATGAAGTCACATTCTCTACATGTTTCTGTAAAAAGCAGAGCAAAAGCTGCAGGTTATGTTATTTCCAGTAACACCAGAAAATATTTCTAATTTTGTCTCTTTCCTGCAAAAATGGAGTCTGCATGATAAACAGAACAATGTGTGAGTTAGTAACAGTGATGTGAGGTTATGCTTAAAACACAAGAAAAGCTTTATGGTTAAATCTGAGAAGTTTGTTGAGGTTCTTCATGACGTGGCGTCTTTGAGGAGAATGACACTCCAACTAACACTGGATCAAATTTGGACCCAACAAAAATCGGGTTGTCTGATGTAGCAATAGGAACACATTGAAGCCATTTGAGCCACGCAGACCGCTGGTGATTCTACACCACACTGACTCTGTCTGGAAGACCAATAGTCGCTGGGGGGTCTGTTCTGGTCAGACCCACCGGTACAATGCAACATGATGGGAAGATGTTGACTAAGACAAGAATTTAAAAATTCTGTTAAAGTAAAAAAAAAGTTGGTCTATAATTGAAACTAGAATGTTCCCTCCCCATATGATTAATTTTCAGTCTTTCTTTTTTTTAACTCACAGTGCAGCTTGTGTTTGTTAACCTGCTTTTTAACGCTTCAGCTCAAGATTTTTCATATGTGAATACTTGATGTTTCAAGACTAGTGACCCATTAATGGAGTTTGTTAGTAGTTTTAAGAGGCCTTTACAGGCAGGAGCCCTATCTGACTTGGGCAAATAATGTGGAGATGCGTCAACAGCGCTACAATCATTGTTGTCTGAATAGCAGTGGCAGTAATGAAGGAGAAAGCAAGAGGAAGGAGAATCCGTCCTATCAGTAGTTTATCCAGCATAATGACCTTCCAACATATCTGGTGCTTAGGAGCTACATGGGTTACAGCCCAACGCAGTTTAACAAAAATACATCCTGTCTTCCGATGTTGAGCCTATAGTGTGGAGCACTTGCAAATGTACACACCCTCATATGTTTTGGGTTCTATAATGAAGAGCTATATTTGTGTGTCTTGTGTTTTTGTAGAAATAGGTAGAGCTTATTCCAACAACTAAAGAGGCGGCAAATTGCATGTGTAATTGTTTTTTTTTTTTAGTATTTGTGATAAGAGGGTGTGTTTTAGGTTATATGTTGCTTTACAAATGTTAAGACATGCAAAACAATTTGGTTCAACCTATTTAAATTAGCAGATTGTTCTAATGGCAGTTTGAGAGCAAAAGAAAGATGAGGTTCTAAGCCATGTACTTGGAAGCAATAAGTATACTTCTAAACAATATTGAGCACTTTAGGTAGGTAGCCTAAACTCTACAGCCTAAATGATAAGTATCTCTAAATGCTCTTAATGGAAGTCTAAATGCTTTTTTAAATTATTTTGTTTTTCTTTCTGCCAAATATTTATTTCACAAAATTAGATGGACATCTCTCAAAAGATAATAAAAAAGGCATAAGAAGTATCAATTTGCATTAAAATTAGTTTTGTCATTAAATTAAAATTAAAAGATTAACTTTTTTTTTTACTTAAATGATGTTATTTGTATTTCATCAACATCAAACATCTTTCGTCATGTCTTGCTGGCCCTCCTTACCATCACCCTAATATTCAGCTCCATTCAAAGCATCAGGACTCTGGCTGGGCTGCTCTACAGTTACAAGAAAGTAATACTTTTAGCATTTTCTGGCCTAACGGTATTTAATATTTAATTGTGGCAAAAACATTTTAATAAACCGGTTTTAGCGAGGCTTAGCATCTAGAACCAAATCTCATCAATGATTTCATAGACATGGAGACCCATCTGTGGAAGTTTACCAGTGAAATCTCCTTTTATTACAAAATAATCAAATAGAGTGAGTGAATTCTGTTTGTTTTAATATTAATCAAGTCTGTTTAGTTTAAAAAAAACATCAGACTTACTGGGAAATATCTGCGTTCAGCAGGTTTATACATGAGGCCCAGAAACGGACTCCCCATAGGTGGGGTTATAGGTCAGAACTGCAGGAGGTAGATGAACCCCCTGGTTCTAACAGCTGACAGGTGCCTCAGAAACATCCAGCTGATTCTGCTGCATTGGAGCAGACAGGTTCTCTCAGAGCTAGTAGTGTCTCTATCAGCTGGAAATCCCTGGACTGAAGCTCCAACAGGCAGCTTCTGCTTTTATGAACAGAGATCAAATATCTATGCATTACTAAGGCAAGTCTGACTCCTGCCAAGTTAGAACTAAGAACCAAGAACTAAATAAGAGCTCAGCTATTTTTATCACAAATTTTTCATGAAAGTTTCCTGCTTACTTTGCTTAAGCAGGCCACCCATCTGCATGAGGCGTCTGTCAAAGGTCTGCAGAGAGAGCGGAGCGGGAAGAGTGGAGGAAATAGAGGATTCTGTAGTGCATGAGTGAGTTTCTGGGCTCAGTGTTGGTTTAGTTAATGACTGGTGCATATGTCAGCCACACAGCTGTGGAGTCACAATCAGCCAGCCAGCTGAGGAGGGGAGTGACGGAGACAGAGGAGCAGGAGGCAGATTTAAAGCGTTAAGCTGTTGATGATAAAAACGGAGGAAAGCATTTCTTAGAGGCGAGCAGCGAGGCAGAGGAGGTGAGAAAGGGGATAAACAGAGAAGCATCCACAGGGAGTGAAGGAGAAAGAGATTGAGCCCAGATAGTTTCCATTCTTCTGCTGCTCCCTCAGCCTGAGCTGAAGAAGAAAAGGCCAAGGCTGCGGTCCAAATCATTACCCTCAGCTGCCTTCTGGAAACTATTTACTGTTGTCAATAAAAACCGGGAGAAAGGAGGCAGTTTGTACGACGGAAAGAAGAGCTGGAATGAGGGACTCCTCTGTAGGAAGATTGCATGTTGATGATGGGCGGCACGCTTCCCTTTGTGCTCTCCAGGATATTAGCATATCTTCTGTACCTTCTCCGGGTCTTTTCACCCACACTTCTTTTGACTTTAGCTTTCTACCACGGCTGGCCTGCTCAGTCGGTCCCGGCCTTTTTCCATCAGCGCAGGGATTTAAGCCTTTAAGAGCCTCTGTCCCTGCAGTGGGGGCTTTAAGGCAGAATATGTGCAGAAAGCAGTTTGTTATAGGGGAAAGATCAGAGCTGGGCAAACCAAAAAGAGGAGAAGATGGTCCATGAGGACACCAACAAAAGCATTGCATTTGGTCCTGAAAAAGGAGCTTTTTATGAGACCAGGGGGCTGGTTTAATGTGTACATAGCACTGAGAGATCTCTACGAATCATTTCTCATCTTTGATCATATCTTCATGTTAAAGTTTAAACTTCGGCTTACTGACAAAGATTTTCAATTATTTATCTCTGTGCTCCTGCAGGCAAACCCGGCAGCAGGAAACCCCGCCAGACTTCTTCTACTTCTCTGACTTCGAAAGACACAACGCAGAGATCGCTGCCTTTCATCTGGACAAGTAGGTGGACATCCCTCCCCCACCTGTTACTAATTCAAAGGATTCATAAGAGGAGCTGTAAAGATCTACAGTTCGTATTGAAATATTCCAAGAGAAATCCAGTTCGTTTTGTGTTTAAAGAGAGCAAACACGTAGAAGGTCTGAGCGTGAAAACCAGCCCTGTTCTAAAGTGTTCTAGATGTGACCTCCGTCTCTCAGCAGGGATCTTTGCCTCCTGCTGAGACAGAAGAACTTAAATGGAAAACATTAATATTCCAGAGGCAGAAACGGCAGGCTCAAACCATACAGACATGACACTTTTAGTATGTGAGTCAAACTCATTTGCATACTATTTGCCTTAATGCAGCAGCTCTCTGCAGATCCAGATTATGTCCCAGCACTGTAAACATTTCTAAGTAGGTTGGAGCAAAAGGCTGGGTTGGTGTGAAGTTACCGTCACTTTCCTGGTGCTTATCGTGCATCCTTTAAGGCAGCGTCCTGGAGGGATTTTGTTCATCCCCGATTGCTAATTATCCTGTCCCCATGTCAGCTCATTAACCACCTGGGAGGAGTCCAGACTGGAGGCAGAACCTCGCAGGAGTGCTGCAGTTCTGCTGCGGTACTTTGAGAGTTTTTGAAGGAACAAAGCTAGAGCTGAATGATTATGTCTGGAGATCAGTGCATGACTCATATTCACATCTGAAAGTCTTCAAACCTGTTTGTTTTTCCCAGATGAAGCAGATAATAAGGAGAAAATGTGAATATCATGTGATAATTTAACAAGGTGTTTCTCTACAGTATGTGGTTGTGTGATGGACTGTCAGTAGTATGAAAAAAAGCCTGAGTGGGGCGCTGTAGCTCCTGCTCTCATCATAGGGGACCCATCCAACTCTCAAAGGGTACTTAGATATATGCATAAAAGTTGCTCTTAATGCAATATAATCCACAAGGATTCTCAGTTCTTATGAGATTATGGTATAAAACATGTGATCTGCAACATGCATGGTTTTATTTCATTGCTTTAGACCACAAATCTAAGGATTTTAAAAAGATTAAACTTCCTCAACTGCGAGAAGAGATAAATGGTTGTTTGTGTCTCATAGAGTAGTTTTACTTCCTGGAAAACAATAATTGCCAAGCTTGTTTCTCTCAAAGCAAAACTTGAAAAAAAAATAGATAAAATGTCAGCATGTTTTTCATGACATTAAAGACATTTAAAGGTCTCTTCCACAGGTGGTAACTTCATCAGCCCGGTGCTTTAAGATGGATCCTTTTTCTGAACTAATGGCTACAGTGAAAAGTTGATGATCCTTTCAGAGTTCTGTGACCTGCTGTTACAGATTTTAGAGGAATTGGGTCAATAGATTTGAGGAGACATATGCAGCCTGTCATTAGGGGATGTCACACTGTGTGAGAGCAGTTGCTCTAAACCACCTTTTCACAACAACAACATTATTTCAGATTACTGCAACACTTTTCTATCAAGTTTCAGAACAGGAAGCGGTTAAATGTTCTTCTCTACTCCCTTCAACCTTCCTGTTATCTGCTGGAAGTTGTGCTCTCTCTGACAGCCTAAATAAACCTTGCAGAGTTGTTTTTTTAATACATTTACATCCTGTCAGTTAAAATGCCTCCTTGCTTCCACACTGAAGAGTGTTGTTTTTAGCAGAAATTGTTGCCATCTATATTCAGCCAGGCACCAATCAGGGCCCATCAGGCAGAATTCTGGGTTCTTTAGTGAGATCATTTGGATCCGTTGTTGTTTATGTCCTCTATGTTTCACCGTCTTGAATGTCGGCTTTGGTTATAAAGTATAAACATAAAATAGATTTAAAGGTTTCAGTCCCTTTTTCCATCTTTATATTAGTATAGATATTTTTTTCATTTACGTTTTGTGTTCTAACTCCAGCTGGCCTCGCCTCATATCGGGGGTTTAAAACTACCTTTATCTCCTCATCTGTTTGCTCTCGATCGATTGAGGCTGTTCCCTCTGCAGCTTTTATTACAACTCTTCCTATTTTCTAGTAGATTCTGTCGATGCGCAGAGAATTGTCACTAGACGGAGCAGGACATCAAATACATTTTGAATTTAACACACACAAAATCAAACAAACAGGCGCCATGTTTAGATGGTTTCTTTAATTAAAATTAGAGAAATGCTAACCGTTAACGAGTCTTTGAAAAAAAAAGGACACCTCTTCAAATACTACCAAAATTAAGCTTTTTTTACTCATTAAACAAAATGCATCAGCAACAAAAAGACAAAACATCCCGATTATGTCGAAATGAGAATTTGTTGATAATGTTGACATAATAGATATCCATAGATCCAAATATGGTTGCAGGAAACCCTCTAGCCTTTTATCTGTTCTCTTCATCGAGATCTTTTATCTACTCTTATTTTATGCACCTGTTAATGCTTTTCTCAGTGTGTTCTCTGGTTCCAAAGAGTCAGAAAGGTTTCCACACGTCCCTTGCAGGCAGAGACTCCATGAGGGCCCTCCTGCTGCTAGCATCCAACTGAACAATGACTAAGCTAACCACTGGGCTCTCTAACTTCCCTAGTAAACATGTTTTCCTGCCTGACCGCCTGCAGCAGAGGCCCTAATGAAAGCAGAGACCCTCACAGGACTCCCTGATTGACAACAGAGTGCAACCAGTTTGGACTCACTGTTGCCATTAAAGTCAAGCTGTTTCCAAAGTGGGGGAACAGCTTGGGGGTTGGGGGGTTGAGGCAGGTGTTTCTAACGACAAAAAAAAACATTTCAGAGGTCACGCTCAGACACAGCCGAGGGCAGCCATGTTGAATCCTCTTCTCCCCTCCTTCAGGCACAATAACAAGAGTTCATCAGCAGTTACACATGCAGCTGGGTTCGGATGCACATCTGGTCTAAACACACACGCCAGCCTATGTGTGGGTTCACAGGAAGAGGAGAAAACCAAAAGCATGAACGTCTCTGTGACTAAATATAAGTCAGGCAGGGTTTGCCAAAAGCAGCGCTTTATTTTTTCCCTTATTTTCGTCTGTTCTAAATTAGAGCCTGTCCAGAGAGGAGCTGCTGCTGGTGCTGCTGCTGGTATTACTGGTGGAGCCACTGCACTGCCTCCCACAGGGCCCACAGACACACACACACACACACACACACACACACACACCCCTTTTATGTAGGCTTTGCTGCCTTAAACATGATTAATGACGTGATTGGGTTTAACTGGGAGGAGCACTTGCTGTTGCTGCATTAGGAAGTCAGCAGAAATGAAGAAAGGAATGGCTTCATATAACTTCACCATATTTAACCATGTAACTCCAGATTCAGCTCACTCAGCTCTCTGCAGCACAGAAGGTGTTACCAAGGCCGGCCCAGATTCTGCTTTGTCCTCCATCCTTTTTTTTCTGTCTCTGAGACAGTAAACAGGCCCCCTACGCCTCGTCCTCCAGCATCTCTGTGCCTGCACACTTCAGCCATTAGGTGTTGTCATGGGCATCAATTTTTAAAGAGCAGTGCTGATGTTGCAGTCAGGTGGTGCACAGCGAAGGGCGGTGCATGCATGAAAAAGGTGAGACGGCTGGATATCTAGTTCAGAGAGGAATGAGACCAAAGTGTCCCTCTTTTGGTGGATTTTACACACTGATGTTGTCATAGAAACGTTTGCCTTGAAATATGTTGAAGTAAGGAAAAAGGAAAAGTTAAGAATCAGGGCCTCTTCATGACCACAGGGACAATGTTCACCTATGGAGTTTTAGTGATACAACAGTGCCCCCTGTTGGCAGTGGTAGGAGCCTACATCTGGTCCCAGTGATGGGCAGCAGGTGCATCTCTGTAAAAACAAACCATATTATACCATCTATCACATAAAAAGTCATATATTAAAATCTTTATTGCCTTTTCCTTATACTGTTTAAATTATGGTTAAAACAAACCATATGGAATTAATAACATAACATTAAATCAAACCAATAAAAAGTATTAAAAAAAAATGTTTTGCGTTGTGTCTTCATATGCCATAAAGAGTGTAAACCACAAAAGGTTATTGCTTAAGAAGCTGGTTGTTCATAGGAGGCTCTGTTCAGGCCATATTAAGATAAAGTTAAGTGGAAGGAATAGATGTGATAGAAAAATGTGCAAAAAGTCTTGATTATGTTATGAAATAATAGAAGTTATTTGAAGAAGTTATCTGCCCAGTGACTCTGCAAATCATATACTGATTTGCATCGCATATGACATACAGTTAATTGTTATTACTCTGGTCTGCCTTTGGTCAGTGTCTCATATCTGACCCTGTCTGACAGGATCCTGGATTTCCGGCGCGTCCCACCTGTTGCTGGCAGGCTGGTCAACATGACAAAGGAGATCAGAGACGTTACCCGAGACAAGAAGCTGTGGAGGACCTTCTTCATCTCTCCAGGTAAGTCACAGTAAAGTTACACACATTCTGCAAAGACATAACAACACCAAAGTTTTCAGACTTCATAATTTTTTTCTTCACATTTTTTATGTTTTGATATTTTACTAGAAGTTAATGGGTGGTTCACACCTGGATTTGTGTTCAGATTTTTTCTCTCACGGAGGTTCAATACATGTGGCCTTAAATCTGACTCCTGGCATTGTCACTTTTATGCATCATGGTACATTGGTCTATTATTGTGAAAAAAAATGTGTTCTTCTTCTGTATATCTTAAAGAAAGTCTAAGGCTAGTAATGAATAACCTTTTTTCTTTCTCATAATGTAAAGCTGAGCTACCACAGTGTTCATTTGCATGGATTAGTACTATCTGGAGACTTTACCTTGAGTCTGAGCACTTCATTTAATTACCAGTCCTTCACTCCACATATGAAACACGTGGAAACCACCAAGGATTAAAATTAACAGCAATCTCAGCATTTACCACAGCTCAGTGAACGCCCCCAGGCAGCTTTAACCGAGCACAGCGAGGGGGAGGTATATGTGGCGTGAATAATAAAGGAATGCAGGGCAAGCAGCCACCAGGTGGAGTACTGGAACATATCTGGAGGAAGTGTGTCTCAGCTGGTAACCACAGGGTGTTTCTCTTCTCTCAGCCAACAATGTGTGTTTCTACGGTGAGTGCTCGTACTACTGCTCCACCGAGCACGCTCTGTGCGGGAAACCAGACCAGATAGAGGGATCCCTGGCTGCCTTCCTTCCAGACCTGGCCCTCGCCAAGCGCAAGACCTGGAGGAACCCATGGAGGCGCTCCTACCACAAACGCAAGAAGGCTGAGTAAGAGAGTAGTGACGTCCTTACTACAGATGCTGCAGCTCAGCAGCTGGTGGACTTCATTAAAACCACTGACTACAAAGTTTAGGGAATATTCTGTAGGCCTTTAGGAAAACTCACCCAATATGATCCCAGATTGTAAAATGAGAGACAGTTTAATAAGAGGAGGAGAAATCTGATTGGTTTACATTCACTTAAGGTCAATTTTCCTAATTCAAAATCTGTTATTTCAGATGGGAGGTGGATCCAGATTACTGCGAGGAGGTGAAACAGACTCCACCATATGACAGTGGCACACGGCTGCTGGACGTCATGGACATGACCATCTTTGACTTCCTCATGGGTAACTTGGTTTTTCGAATGCCACAAGCTTTTATTTGCTCTGATGTCCTCTAAGATGGACCCCCACTCCCAAAACCTTTTCATCCACAATTTTGGATTATTTCTGTGCAGGGAACATGGATCGACATCACTATGAGACATTTGAAAAGTTTGGAAACGAGACATTCATCATCCACCTGGACAATGGCAGAGGGTGAATAAAGTTACATTTTAATCTGTGGTTTTTGCAGAATGTTAGAAAATCTGAAATAATCCAAAGAGCTCATGGAGAGAACCTCCTTTATGCGTCTGTTTTTCTTTCCAGTTTTGGAAAACACTCTCATGATGAGATGTCCATCCTGGTGCCACTTGTGCAGTGCTGCAGGTAAGCTACACTTTCTAATCTTTGTTGATTTTAATATTTTCTTGTATTAAAACCAGGGCTGTTTTATTTATAGATACTAGTTCTCCTCTAATTGTTAAAGTTGTTACAGATTGCACAGCTGAGCTGCAGAAATAGGGGCGTAGCTTTCTGCATCTGAATTGTTCTAACTAGAGAAAGATGCTACGGAAATTAGGTTTATTTTCTTCTTTTTCAATAAAAACAATAATATAATTAAAGAAAAAAGGCACATTTAAATTTTTCATCCCCATCATACTTGAAGCAAAACTTGGATAGCAAGAAAGATAAGTATTTTCGTTCCAGAGTTTTCAGCACCACAGATGTTTGGACAGCGCCGATAGACAGCGACATCCAGACAGAAGTTGCTGCATGAGTGTAGTTTGATCTAGCTGATGCAGAGCTAACGTCTGCAGCTCTCACTGCTGGGTCTGTGCAGGGTGAAAAAGTCGACCCATCTGCGCCTGCAGCTGTTGGCAAAGGAGGAGTACAAGCTGTCAGTTCTCATGGCAGAATCCATGACGAGGGACCGGCTCGACCCCATCCTCATCCAGCCTCATCTGGACGCCATGGATCGACGTTTGCGCCTGGTCAGTGCTTCATTATAACTGCATCTTAAATCTTTTTCTGCTGTTTTCCAGAACAAGAATCTAGAAAAGGAAAACTACAGAATAACTGAACTAAATAAAAGATGCAGCTTTCTACCTGCTATCTTCTTGGTACCAATCTGCTGTAATTCCTCAGATTGAAGTATTTCTGCCTTCCTGTGCTCAGCATCCTCAGATCCACCTTCTGAGGGACAAGCTGGACAGAATCCAGCAGGTTAAAGGTCACTGTTTCTTGCAGCTCTTGTACCACAAATAAAACTTTAAGCAAACCCCAGAATCACAGTGACAGAAATTCATAAAAAAGTAATAAAAAATAGTTAATTTTCAGAACCGTTCTTAATATTTCATTGCACTTTTGTGTAATTAATCAATAGAAAATATCCTCCTATTAATGAAGTAGGAGAAAATTGAAAATAGAAACTATTTTATTCGATACCCCTAAACAAATCCACTGCAACCAGGACAGCTCCTTCTACAGAAGACAGGGGAGGAAGGATTTTAACCAGAGACCCTTAAAGGAAAGCTTATTTAAAAGGGAACATCCAAACAGTGGTAACAAGTCTTCACCCTAGAATCTGATCCTGGACCAAGAAGAGCATTTGCATACATTCGTTGGTAAAAACAATAACAAGCAAGGATGTAATAGATTATAAGATGCAGAGTGGGTATGACATAAAGAAATAACAAAATTCCAAAGCAATCTCTATTAAATAGCTGGCATAAAAACAGATTTTTAATGATGCGGCAAAGCTAAAAAATGGTTTAATCTGTGTAGATTTTGCTGTCAAAGAGGTTGGGATTGTTTCAAGAAAGCTCCCCAAATCATTACCCTCTTTCTGTTGAAGTGCGTATCGGATTTTCTCCGACTTTAGTCAGGACTTGATGTCAGCCACTGAATGGAGTTGGTGGAGATTCCTGTTTGTTTTTATCTAGATTTACACCCTCCCTCTACAACACCAAGCAGGGCAGTCAAAGGGTTAAAACGCAAAGTAAGTAAATAATTGTCCAAACTTGAGCAGAAAGAGAACATATGGATAAAAGATTCTTCAGAATATGCACATCTCGACTATTCCAACTCATCTCTGAGTCCTGAGATGAGGGTTTGAAAAGTTGGTTTGACATCACAGGGCTTTAGAGAGAAGAAATAGAGAGATCAAAGTATTTCTGAAACTGTGCCCAGATTTCTAATGAGTATTTTCACAACAGGAAGGAGCGGTGATCTCAAAAAGGTCAGCATGGACTGTAATAAAATCAAAAAAATGCTACACAACGCAATAATAAATAAAGGACATTTGAAGGGACAAGGCTGCCTCGGATTTTTGAAGATGCATTTTATTTAGATGTAAATGTTTTATCTGCAGGAATAAGTATGAGATGATGGAATAAAAAAGGTGTGGAATGTGATGTGGAAAAAAAAAAGGATCCAGAAATAAAAACTGAAATGGTCTTAAAATGATATAGAAATATAGGCAAGCTGACCATTGTAACTGCACCTGATAAAGCTCCAACAAAAAGACAAAGTGCTATAACTGTAATTCCTAAGGAGAAAAATTTAGAGTTCTCAACCAGTTTCTGTCAAATTCCTCAAGCAATAATAAAACAGAATGTTCTGTATCAATCACAAGAACATAAAGCAATGGCTTTAACTGCAAGGTTAAAAAGCAGATGAAGGCTAAAAGGTTTCGATATGTGAGGCGTGGTACAGATAGTTGCAGAAGGATGTGGGTGTTTTGGGCCCAATTTAAAAAAGTTGGAGACAAAAGTGAATTCATATTAAACAGGCAGTCCCACTCAACATGGTCAAAGGCACACATGACACACTCAGCATTAGACAAAGGGGAAGAAATAATGTCAAATAGGTATTGAAAAAGGACTTTATGCATTTAAAGAAGCCTGTTTAGGGTCAAGATATAATAGAAGGGAGGATATTTTACAACTTTTGTGCAAGAACTTTGGCCAAAACATTTGCAGTTCTATTTATAAGAGACATAGGAGGAAAACTGAGTTGTAAATTTTGCATTTTTGCAATGAGGGTTTCATAGAAAGATTTCATAAGGGCTTTTCTAACCAGTGACTCTAAAATAAAAAAAGGAAGGGTTGGAGTGGAAAAATTACAGAAGTTTTGGAAAAATCTGAACATTTCCAAGACAGCTGACTCAATTTCTGTCATGGAGATTGGGACCTCCATCACCTCTGTCAGGTTAGGTGCAAGCTGGGTAAAGTGATATAATCTAGAAACTTTAAGGTTGTATTGTTTTTGGAATCTGAGGTAAATAATTAGGCATAAAAATCCCTGAATGCTTTGATAATCTGTGTGTGGTCTGATGTAATATTGGCGCCTTTTTATTGAATCCTTTTTTTTATCCTTTAGCTGGTTTGCAAGTAGGTTTTCTAGATTTTTCTCCATGGATGTAGAACAGTGGATCTACATTTCAGAAATTATTCATCTTTCAATATGTGGCTTGGATGTCAAATTTATTTTTGCATACTAATCGTTTTTTGTTGTTGTTGTTGTTGTTGTTGTTTGTTTTTGTTGTTTTTTTACAAAACAGGGGGTTTATTTTGAGTAAATTGTTTGTTCATTTCTTTTATCTGCTGAATTGAAATCATTTATTTTTTAAGGTACAGCCCAAATAATCTTGTTCTTTAACCTGCAAAGAGTTTGGATTCAAGGTCAAAATCCAGACTTTTCTCTGACCATTGAGGGGAACCAAATATTAAACCTTGTCTCGTGGCATCCTGTTTTTTCTAGGTGCTGAATACTCTGTCGGAGTGCATCGACAAGGAGGGCTACAGCTACGTGGTGGAGGACGACCTCCAGGAAGACCTAGGGGCCGACCACACACACAGTGACCCCAGAAGGAGGTAGCCAGGGGGTCGATGCCTGGATTGGACTGACTCCCATGAGAAATGAGACTTGACACTTATCTGAATCCGTCTGTTGGTGAAAAGTAGCAGGCAGACCTCTACTTGAGGGGAAATTCAGCTGTCAGACACACAGACAATGCAAAGACTTTTTTAAACTGGACCTGGATGGATCAGAGAAACAACCTTAAGCGTGGACTTCTTCAGACAGATGAGTTCAGTATAAATCACCAACAAGGACCCAGGAAGGAGGCAGCTTGTGGCTCATGGACCCTTATGTTTGAATTCAGTGAATTCTGAGGGCCCCTTTAAAAACAGCCCTCCTAATTCTTCCTGAACTAATCGGTATAAGAGGAGGTGGAGCTGAAACTGGATCAAAATGAAGTTTTACTAATTTCTTTTGTAAAATATTTTGTTGCTTAGTTTCTTTTTTTAAATTTTTATTTCAGCTAATCGGTTCCAGCCTCTTGTTAGAGGTTGTTGTTGGAGTACAGGTTTACTCCTGGATCATTTTGTTCATAAACTTCTACTGGAGAGAGTATTTATTAAAATTCTTATTTATTTGCCTCCCCACCAAAAAGGGAAAAAAAAAGTTTTTAAAGAAAAAGGAAGTGAAATAATTTTCAACAGAATAGTGCACTTCTCTGTTTCTCCACAAGAGGGCGTGCAACAACCTAGTTTCTGGTAATGGTGGTTCTGCCCTTTGTCTTGTCAGCATTTAATCAGTTTCCAGCAGCTGTTTTATCTCTTTCTCTTCAGATGTCAGGGTAGATTTAAGCCAAATGTGACACTAATTATTATTACAATGATGATTATTTTTGGTTTGTAATGTATTTGATGTGCTGATGTTGCTGTTGTGGAGAGATAATCTTTCAGGATGTAAATTTCCTTCAACAGCTTCTATCTGAGCTGTTGTCAATGATTCAGTCACTGGCTGAAAGTTAATATATACAGTAGGAAAATCTAGTGCCTGTGCAATGATAGAAATACTTGAATGTGTGGTTTCATAGCGGGGTGGGAGGGTGCAAACTGTAGAGCTCTTCATAAGTGTCTGTGCTGAACAAGGCGGATTCCTAAAGCTTTTATTATCTACTTCCTGTGGTCCTGTCTGTGTCAGGGCAGAACGGAGGATGGGGGTGTGTGGGAATCCATGAAGACCGTGGTTCTAAATTAAAAAAGACAAAAAAAAGCTTCTTTCTTTTATTGAATCATTGTTTTTGTTTTTTTTTCTTTTATTTCTTTGCATCATGGTAACAGTGCAATAAAACTAAATCAGCATAATCTTGTGTGAGTTTGGTTGTTTATTTGTTACGATTCTGCAAAAAACTTTGGTCCATCCAATCGAGCCTGCAGAATTAGTTAGAGGGAGAGCACATCATCCTTTAAAGGTATAGAGATCTTTAATTTCTGGGTGGATCATCTAAATAAGTAGTCCTACTAATTGTCTATCATTCTGGTCATATGTTCACATAAGGCCGTCCTACGAGGGGCGTTCAATAAGTAATGCCCCTGACCCACTTCCAGATGTTTGATCCAGCTGAAATTTTGCATGTGACATTATTTAAATCTCTATAGATTAAGTAGCAAATTACATCTCTGAACTATTTGTGGTTTCTGACTTACAGGTGTTTGAACTGAGTAAAGTCTGAAATGGAGCCTGTTGAGTGTGATCCGGTTTTTCTATTGGAAAGGACTCGCTCCACAGGAGACTTTTGATGAAATTAAAGTGACTTATGGTGATGATGCCCATTATATTGACCTTGCAAAATGTTTTACAAGATTATATTACGGGACGTTATCACTATAAGTTACTTTCATTTGATCAAAAGTCTCCCGTTGTGTGCGTCCTTTCAAATGCAAAAACACAGACTTGACTCAGTTTTTAACACTTGTAAATCAGAAACCACAATTAGTTCAGAGCTGTAATTTGCTATTATTTCTATAGAGATTTAAATAATTTCATATGGAAAATTTCAGGCCGATCAAACACCTGGAAGTGGGTCAGGGGCATTACTAATTGAACGCCCCTCGCACGTGCTCAGACAGTCATTGAGGCTCACCTTTCTCATCACAGTTCTTTGCAAATGGCAGCTGGTCATAAGAGAAAAAGTGTCTTCAAAGTGTATGAGAATAAAATAGAAGAGGCAGGTTTATCCCAGAATGCTTTGCGTGGAGAGCTCTCCTCACAAAGCATTATGGGATTTGCTGTCTCAGCGGCCCGCTGTCGCCATAGGCTGTTGCTGCCTGACAGTGGGGACTAATAACAAAGATGGTCTTATGTCACACCATTGTTCTGCATATTTATCATATTATTTAAGCGACTATTATTTAAATTTTTCAATAAATGGGAAAGCATGCGACTGGACTTATTACCAAACTCATAATGTTTCTGTTTAGTATGAAGTAGCATTTTCTAAAACAGCTGCTTTTAAACAGTGTGCACAAGGAGAGATGGACTCGTGCATGCTCTCGCACGCATTTATTAGGCGTTACCTTTCTGGAGCAGGTACAGGGTTGTGCATGTGCATCAAGTGGAGAGGGGAGGTCTTTTAAAAAATTCGCAAAAACCCGCCACAATACCTTTAAGCATGTGTTTTTTTTTTTAAAAAAAAAAGCTCATACCTAAAATTGGCCAAATCAAAGTAAAAAGTAACTTTTGACTTTATGCTCTCCATGGAATCTGACTGAGCTTGAACACAAAAGATTAATTTCCTCCTCTTGACCGTTATCCACTATGGAGTCTTTGTGTGTCACATTAAGCTCTGATTAAAACCATTAGTTTTATTTGTAGTATGTAAAGTTCAGGGGATATACATATTTTGGTCACTTCAAAAACCTCATACAGTCAAACAGAGAAAGGTGGCATCGCAACGATTGCTGTACAGCCCAAAGGAAAATGGCCGCCAGCCCAGATCTGCATATTTACAGTTCTCAGGGCTCTGTTGTGTTTTGATAACCTTTCCTGACAGAACAGCCGCCGGAAAGCCTCCTCAGACACACACAGGAGGACTAGAGGAAGTGGTGTCTGAGACAACCATCAGAGGGGACAGAGAGGGACCAGAGGAGACCTGTAATCACTGCAGCCGGCTGCAGACAGGCCTCCAGAGGAAGCCTCGTCATGGGAGCGGGCCACGGGAGCCTTATCTGATCCCAGCTCCTACCAACCTCACACAATGACCTCTTAGTCTCCTCTGCTCAGCCGCTCTGTTTGTTGCTTCCAGTTCTGCCTGAATCAGTTTGTTTTTCTTGGCCGGTAGAGATGCAGAACACCTGAAAGGGAAATTCAGACACATTTAAGTTTTCCTCAAGGAATCGACAGAAATATAATCAAAGATTGGGGTCTATGGTTCCAGAGGCCATCGCCTAATGAGTTGTAGGTAGAAGCGGCCATTTTGAACACCTGATCAGACATTGATTGATGCTGGATCATTTCATCAATGAGAATCACTTTATTTCAAAGATTAACTGCTGGTTAGCAAAAGCTACTGTTGGCACTATCATTTAGACCTAAGAACTGCTTATAAAGTCCAAACAAACATGCTCAAAATCTATTTCTTGTTTGTTTTTCACAATCTTGAATATTTAATTCATCTAATGTGTGAGTTTGACACATTTGTCTCTCTTGCAGTATCCATTAATAACCTTTATTTGGAACTGCAACCGTTCCTGATTAAAGAAGCAGATTTTTTTTTTTCACAGGTCCAGGGTTAGTAGACTGGGCTTTAGGTTTCTCAGCACCTTCTTAACTGTGTTGCCTCTGATTTACCCGTTTCTTGTTAAACCGTTTCCAGTAGTGGTACTACAGGATCGATGGATGGTGAACGGGGCTTGAACCCGCTGCAAGGAGTCAGCTTGAGATCTAAATGGGTTGGCAAGATGCAAACAGTTTCAGATATTAAACTCTGTAGATTTTAGGTGAAGATGTAAAAAACATTAGCTTGATGGGCAGCCAGCAGCGTTAGAGTCCTGATGGAGACTCCACTTTATCTCAGTTCCTGCCTTTCTGGGCCTCACAAGTAAAAACTGGTTAATTTATTGACTCAGATCGGAGCAGGGAGACTCTGATGAACTATTATATGATTTTTTTCTGGGTCACAAAACAGGTTGAAGTTCATTTATCCAAAGCTGATCTGATCTTTCATTTGCTTTGCAGGTTGAACAGAACTTTTGAGTTTAGAACTGGTACCGACAGGCTGTAGTGAGTCCTGGAGCACGGAGGCCACACACGGAGGCCCGACAGACCCGGGGCTGTTTTCCTGGCCTCCATGGACCCATGGGGGCCTCTGATTGGCCCGTTAAGGACCCGAGAAAACACACATCCCCCTAATTTATGAACACGGAAACAATTAGTGGCTATTATAGAGCATTATAGATAGCATCTAGAAAACTTCCCGTTGTTGACTAAACGTCTGCCCAAGCAGAAGCACACACACACACATGCACACAGAGGAAAAGAAAACAAAGATGCAAAGGATTTTGTTTGTTGATGTGGACTCAGCTGTTCTAAGTACAGTAACAGAGATTAGGTTATAAGAAGAAGGGGAATAAAACATGAAGGCAGCCTCTGAGTCAACTGGACCACCCAGAATCCGGCCAGAAGGTGGGTCAGAGAATCTCTCCGTCCTATACACTTGCTATGGTTGTGAATCAGCCCCCTGCCTCAGGGCCCCCTTACAGTCACATAATGTCCTGGAGGGTTCTGCTGGGCTTTACAGTTTCTGTGAGATCCAAACAGGAAGGAACAACAGAGTTTGGACGCATTGAGGATGATCCAACAAACAGCTTGATGCTGCTAGAGTCAAAGAACTGGAGACTTATTGGTTGATTTTTCTGATCCACAGAGGCTCATATGTATTCATACCCTCGTCGATTATGAGGTGACATCCGTTAGTTATCAGAACAACACCTCAGAACTGAAAGAAAGGAAAACAGACAGGCCAGTTCTGGCTGATGTTTGGGCTCTCATTATGAATCAGTTGGCTTCTAACTGCAGATCCAAGTTTTAAACGTTAACAGGGTTGAGGTCAGAGCTTAGACAAACAAATCCACCAGCCTTCCTCTTTCTCTTCTCCTTGGGGGAGTGTTGGCCTAGTGGGTTAGAGCAGTGCACTTGTGCTCTGAGAAGGTTGCATGTACCTGCAATTGAACGCCAAAGCCTGCACTATGGGTTCCTGAGCAAAATCCTTAACCCCTGATTGCTCCCCGGGTGCCACACAATGGCAGCCCACTGCTCCCCAAGGGGATGGGTCAAATGCACGGAACTAATTTCGTCATTGTGGGACAATCATTTTTTTAAATTCCAGCCACCTTTTGTGCAATGAGGACCATAAGACATTCTGTATGGACAGAGAAGCTGGTGTTCCTGAATTGTTCCTTGACCTTTCACCAAAATCCATCTCCTCTTGGGTTAATGTTAGAATAGAATTCAACTTTATTGTCATTGCACCTCTCCCAAGTACAAAGCAACGAAATGTGGTTTGGATCTATCCAGAAGTGCTATACAGGATATACATGTTATTACAGGTGTATGTACAAGCAGTGTTTGGATCTTTTTCCAGATTCCGGGGACCCGATGACATGATTGTGTTCATTGAAATTAATCTTTGACTCTGGAGGACCAAAGTTAAACTCAAGCATCTATAAAGTCCTGAATTTAGAATAAAAAATTAAAAGTTTCATTCACAGTGTCCACCTATCTAGGAGCTCAAATCAATAACAGAAACCTCACTGGTTCAAATACCAGCTCAGTCGTTGTGTCCTCTGGGGCCCGTTGGTCCCTTTACATCTATCATGCAGCGTGGGATTAATCTCCACTGTTATGCTGATGATACTCAGCTTTATTTCCCCATATATCCTGATCAATTTTAACCCCTGTCCGGTGTCAACTTTTAACATCGTACTATATGTTAAAGTAATTTAAAACTAATATGTTTTGAATTTCAACTCTCTCATAGTGTTAACTCTCTAACACTGTTATTTTAACTCCATCTAGTGTCAACCAAACATTTAAAGAGTTGAATTTACTCCTTAGGAGATAAATGTTTGCTGTGTGTATGAATATATCTGGGCCTGGTTGGAGAAAAAAAAATTACTCGGCTTGCATAAATCATGGATGTGTTTATTTAAACCTTTGTGTCTGACTGCTCATGAGGAGAACCTAAACACGGTTCTTTGTAGCTCCAGAGGTAATCTGGTACCAGAACCCAGAGATCCCATACTGTAATAAACTCCTTTAGAGCTGGACTCTGTGGTCAGTGGTTTAGGCTGCGTCCTGGATTTACCTCCATTTCTCTTCTCAATAGCTGTTTCTGCTAAAGTAACATTTCCCCGCAGCATGATGCTGCCACCACCATGCATCCCCATGGGGTGTAGGGTGATGAGCAGTCATAGTTGTCTCCAATCTGAATCTTTACCAAACCATTTCATTTTGGTTCCTATCCGAGTAGATCTTCTAGAGAGGTTTGGTCCATGTCTTATAGACAGCGGCAAATGGTAGAGCTTCAGCATCACCAGTCAGATTCTCCAGCCGAGCTGTGGATCTCTGCATCTCCTCCAGAGTCACTGCAGTCCTCTTGATTTTTCTGATCAATGCTCTCCTGGTCCATGCTGTCGGTCTAGATGGACGTGCATTTCTTGGTAGGTCTACAGGTGCTCCATTGTCTCCATATTCAGATGATGGATTGTTCTAGAACCTAAGCTGAACCAGAACTTCGTCCTTGAGCTGTCACTGAGTTTGTTGGACTAAATGATGCTGATTGAGCCCTAATGTTCTCTAACAAACCTCTCAGGCCAGAACCACAACAGCTAGAATCTGATTCTGATTAAGGGACTTCTACAGCTGATTGGTGGACGTAATTTAGGGGGATTAATGTAAAAGGAGGTTGTTTACAAATGTATGCCACACTTCTCAGATTTGTTTTAAATAATAAAAAAAAAAAGTTGAAAAATTGCACACTATCTCTGATCCACTTTGAGTTCTTCTATGATTTAAAATCCCAACAAAGGAGCCACAAGTTCAAGGGGTGTGAATACTTTAATGAGCCCTGCATGTGAAAATGAGCCTTTTAATGGTGTGTTTGAAGTCAGCAAGAGAAAACATCTGGAGATGAAAGATTTGTGCTACAGGAACCCTGCTCGTGAAGCAGGGGAGTCTTCAAACCCGGATCCTGTAGAGCAAGAGGGGTGGGGGGGCTGTAGGCGGCCGTGTTCAGCAGAGCTCAGAGAGTCGGTGGGCTGAGCAGAGCATGGTGGCTGAGCAGCACAGCAGGACACAGCGTTGCTGCCGGGCTTTGGACGGGACGGTCAGAGATGTTTGACAACTCTCACTACCCCTTCAACTGCTTCAACTATGATGGGGACGGATACCCGTCCTCTGGTTCTGAGGAGGAGAAAAAGATCTGCAGACCTGCTTACAGGTAGAGATTCATCTACTAATATAAAATCAATGGCTTTGCTTTATCCGTTTGTTGTTTTGCCCTTTAGAAAAAAAAAACAACAGGAAACAATTATCATTAATCAGCATATATGTTTTAAAAATATTCTAACAATCATTTTTCTTGCTTTTTTCCTTTTAATTTAAAGAAAAATTAGTTATTGTTTAATTTAATTGCTGTTAGATCCATATTTAGCTGTTTGAGAAGTTTTAGTTTCTTTTCTTACATTTTGGATAAAGAATATTTTTCTGAATTAAAAACTGCAATAGGAATAAGGAAAACATTTTTTTTAAATAAGTGTATTTACCCTTGTGTTCAATAGGTAAATTAGATAGTTTGCCAATTGATAAGATAATTTGTTAATATGCACTTGAAATAAGACAATGCAGTTGAAATTATTTCTTATTTTAAATCAAAATTGTTTTGCTCCATTGGCAAAATGTCTCTTATCTCCTCAATTCAAGAACAAATGCACTTAATTTAAGAAAAAAAATTACTTGTCTGGATTTCCATTTTTTTTTCCAGTGTGAACTATTTCTCTACAACACAGCTGAAATCAAAGGTGTTTTCTTACAGGTTATTAAATAATCCTCCTAAATTATAACAAAATGATTTAAAGCTTAATATTTTAACGAGAACTGGATTTCTACAGAGAAATAAATCATAAGTTTTTATTTAAAAAATAAATTTTAGAATAAAATATCATTGAAATAACTCTGAATTAATTTAAATAATTTTATCTGCAAAAAACACTTTTCTTAGATCAATTAATATGTGAATAAAAAGATAGCAGATCTTAATGGATGAAAAAGAAAAAAGGAAATAATCAGTTTTTTATTTACATTCATGAATAAAACCAAATTATTCATTTAATTTACAAAATGATTTAACTCATTTATAATCAGCGGAAAACTCTTTCATAAAGGCTTTCCCTCAATAACGAAGCTACTCTCTGCATGTCTCCTCTGGTGTTCTGATCTTTGGTAATGAAATTAAATTTAGATTTTCTATCAGAAACAGCTTAGAATTCAGGCTGGAACATTAGTCCAAAACATTAAAGCAGAAAAAAAGCATTTTGACAGATTAATTCAAATTAGAATCAACCAGAAGTATCAGTAATTATAAGATAAGATGTATGTAGTTTTGCTTTTCTAAAACAGAGAGAAAATATTTGCATTAAAGCAATTAGGCCTAAACGGGTCGGAACAAGGGTTTTTTTCTGTACCAGCTGATCCAAAAGTTGGTGTCTGTGTGTGCCAGCTACATCGCTCTGATTGCCATGGCGATCCAGCAGAACCCGGAGCAGCGGGTCACCCTGTCTGGAATCTATGAGTTCATCATGAAGCGGTTCCCCTACTACCGGTCCAACCAGAGAGCCTGGCAGAACTCCATCAGACACAACCTGTCCCTCAACAGCTGCTTCATCAAGGTAGACACCTGCTGTATTTATTCCACCGTGGTTCTGTCTGGCTCGGGCTGATTTCGGTTCTGTTTGAGGTCCAAAATGCCAATTCTGATTGTGACACTTTCTCCCTGCAGACGTTCAAGTTTGAAATTACAAAACCTGAAGAAATTAGTTTTTTCTCCTAAATAAACTCATTAGTTTCCATATCGGTTTGATCTGGTTAAAGACAGTAAAGCTCAGAACTGAATATTTTTTAGATTAATATGATCATAGAGCAAAATGCTTTAATGCATCTTACAAATATTACTATAATATTGTTTCCTTTTTTTTCTTTTCCTTTTTATTCAGAACCTCTGATCAAAGCCAATCTGCTATTTAAAACAATCCCTAATTAGAACAGAACCCAGATCAGAACCAATTTATAATTAGAGTGCATCTCTTCTCAAAACTTCATAAGGCCAGAAACAGAACTTTGTTTACATCAGGACTTTCAGCTCACAGCTGTCTCTGTAAAACAGGTTCCACGGACAGAAGGGAACGAGAAAGGGAAAGGAAACTTCTGGACCTTCGCTGCAGGTTGTGAATCCATGCTGGACCTGTTTGAAAACGGAAACTTCCGCCGCCGCAGGCGCAGGAGGAACATGAAGATAGGCCTCCAGGATTCAGCAGAGACCTCCTTCCATCCGGTGGAGAGCCACAGCAGCAAGCGGGGACCGGCGTCTCGGCATCCTGAGCTAGACTCTGCCATCTGCCATCTGAACCCTGGAAGGCCGAGGTCCGATCCCCAACAGAACCACCTCATCCCGACCTCAAACCAGCAGGGAAAACCAGAGTCAGAGATCAAGTTCAGCATCGACTACATCCTGTCCTCTCCAGATCCTCCACAGCCTGGGTTCAGATCTCCTCATGGCTCGATACATTTGGTCCCACCGGCGCCACCTGCTCATGTTCTGGACCAACAACACCTGAACCTGCACTTCTGGACTCTTTAAGAGGACAAATAACGAAAGACACCTTTCCTCCTGACAACAAGAACTCTGCTTAAAACATGTTCAACACGAGACAAAGAGGTTCCACTGGATGTTTTACAGGACCTGAGAAATGAAAAGTGAAAGATCAACTTTAACCAAAAGATTAAACTCAGCGAAGAGTCTCTGTGTCGTTCTGCCGTTCGTATCGTAATTTGTGCTGACAGTCAATATTTGAAATATATTCCACAAGCATTAGAAGAGAACCTGTGAGTCTAACTGTGATGTGATCGTATGATGTGTCAGAAGAATCGGCTTAATTCAGAGCAGAAAATACCTCAAACAAAGACCTGATCTTAAAGAATATTGGATTTCAATTTCTGTTTTTATATTCCAATCAAACCAGTCATCTGCATCAGTCAGCAGGATTTGAACCCAGGACCTTGCAGCCTCTAAACCTTAATTACCAGCCCCCCATATTGATTTATGCTAACTTAACCTGCTGCTCGTTAAGTACCTCATACTTATGGAAGCCCGTTTCTGCCATATGAAAATAATAAAATGCCAAATAATTATGAGATTCAAATTAAAAAAATTTGTTTTTCAAAGTCAGAATTTCAACTTTCAAGGTTACAATTATGAGATACAGTTTAAAGGTCAAATATATCATAATTATAGAATAGAAAATCCTTTTATTGTGCCACTATGGGGAAATTCTAGTGTTTAAAGCAGCAAAAAGATTATAGAAAAAATAGTGACACAGATGTGGACCTTAGAAAAAATGTATAAGAATAACATAATAGTGAAGAGTTAAAAGATAAACAATAAAATACTGTACTATAAAGTGTTTTAACGATATAAAACTGTGCACCTGGAGAATAAATAACCAATATACAGCTATGGACATTTTTACAATAATGGATATTTGAAAATAGCAGCAACATCAGAGATGTGCAAAATGACAGCAGCATGTTATTTAACTGACTAAGGTAGAAACTGTGCAAAATCAGCATGAATGTAACAATTAATTGAGGTTGTTGGGAACAGTGGTGGCTATAGAGTCTTACAGCTGCTGGGGAGAAGGATCTGTGATAACGCTCCCTGGTGCATTTAGGGTGCAGCAGTCTGTCACTGAAGGAGCTCTCCAGTTCTGGAAAAGCTTCATGCATGGGGTGGATATGTTCATTTAGTTAGGATACTTTTGTTTCCTATCTCCTGCACTGAGTCCAGAGGGCATCCAATCAGTGGGGGAATATGACTTTAAAACTCGAAATTATAACTTTCTATTTGGCTTTTTTTTTTTTACTTTCATGTGACAGAAACGGGCTTCCATACATATTTTACCTACTATGTTTAAAATGGGTCTAATTTTAAAGAAAATATAAGTAAATAAACGTTTTTTTTTGTGGATTTTAAAATTCTGAATTTAATAGAAATCTTAAAAAAATGAAGCAGTTCCTCCATTAAATAAGACACACATATCCACTATTCCTTTTTCACTGCAGTTAACATTTCCTGTCAATAGGAGCAGAACTTACAGCAGAAAATATAAAGTCCCCAGAGATATAGTGTTTATTTAAACTCCAATTCAAGGTGGAATTATTCCCACTTAAGATTAACTCCCCTTTCTACATCCTATGTAGGCCAAAATATTTTAAATTTAATCAAAACTATAGCCATTGATAAAAAGCTGGAAATTGTACAACAATCAGACTTTATCATTTTGCTCTGTTTTTAGGATCCATTACTGTTACCAAGATTTTATCTTAGATTCATAGACCATTAAGATAACTAAAAGAAATAAAACAATGAATAGCTATAAATTACCGAATTTTTGCAGGGTTTAACCAAGGGTCAAAGATATTTGATTCTTCATGTAGAAAATCATATCACGTGTGTCATCTTTAGAAGTCATTACATGATAGCTACCTCTGAATGTTTTGGGTCTTTCCAGGTTCTCCTGACTGTTTCTGCCGGTTTGGTTCATATTCTAACAGATTGAATTGTTTTAAGTGAATAAGTGAGGGAAAGAGCACTGTAGAGCTGGCGGGATGACACCCACTGTTTTGTTTTTATCTCCCAAGATGCTCTTTGTTGATTAGACAGCAGCTGTATTACTAAAACCGAGCTTCAGGTGTGTGACCCTGCGGATGAGGAGGTTTCCTGCAGAATCCCCTTATCTGCAGCTACCGAGATCTTCCACCTTAACAAAGGGATCCAGCAGTTTAACGTTTCCGCCCCACATTTAGCTAATTTTTCATTGACCTTTGGGAAGCCTGACTGACTGACACTTAAATCGTGATCCAGTCATTCTTTATTGCAGGAGGAGGCCTGTGGAAACACCAGTCTGGGAAACATTGCTTTTGCTGCACAGGGGAGATCAATCATCGCATGTTGGCTTGCTGTTTGAAGGGACATTTTTCAATTTAACCTTTATATTATGTCTTGACTACATAAGAGGAGGGCTTCCGCACATTTAACATGAGTGGCATTTAATATAGCATAACACTTGCAAGGTGAGGCCCAGAAGTGACCCTATTTAAATACCAAGGCCCGCTCCCCGAGCTTATACAGCAGCCCCTCCCCCCGACGACACCCTCACCGCCCTGACGCAGGTATAATTAAACACTCCATATGCCTCCTTTGCAAATCTGCAGGTTTTCAACATTCACGTGTGAACTGGCCCCCAGCGAAGCGTTTATGGATCAGCAAGTTTCCATTAACAAAGTTGTTGATGTTGAGGAGCATGAGGCTTGCTGCAACTATGACGCCGTGGATATATTTGGGTAAATTAACTTAGCATAAAGTGCTCCAAGGCTACAGGAGTCTTTGGAGGCGGTTAAACAAAAAGTGGTGCGGCAGCCAGGCCGCAAAAAGTCAATGCACATTTTAGACTGAGCGAAGACGTGAGTGTTGCTGCTGGCAGTGTGTCCGAATGGCTCCCCCTCTATTAAACAACTGTTGGAAATCCACCTGCTTGGTTTTGTTCCTCTTTCCTTCCGTCCTTTCTTTCCTGATTACTTCCACAAAATTTCTCATCTATCTCAGTGCGAGCTGCTCTTTTGTCTGAGAGCTCATTACGTTCATAGTCGCCTGCTAAATTAGCAGCTGACGGCAAAAAACAGTTGAATTAAAGGTACAGGAAATTGGGAAACTGCTGATGTGCAACGTTAATAACAAGTAAATAATAATAAACACAAAGAGGTCATTTAATCTGCAATGTTTGTTTTTTTCGGGTTGGATGTGGTGGAGAAAAAAAAAAAGATGGGAAATGAGATAAATATTTGTATACAGGCGCATCAGTTTAATAGTTTCTCCACTTTAAACAGAAGAATAAAGGTTGGAAAAGATTAGCCTCCAGATAATTAAGAAGTGGAAAATAGCCTGAGGTCTTCCAAACGGATCTCTGGCCTTTGAAAAGCCCTGCGTGTGTAATTCAATCTGGAATATGCTCTCACGTTTATATGGCTCAGAGTGGGAAGGTGTCAGTAATAAGAAAATCTCTACAGCGTGTCGGGAGACATGTTCATGCTTCACCTATTAGAGGTCCCTGCTGGGGATCACCAGGAGAGCTTTTATTTTGAAAAGGCAATGAAAAACAGGCAGTTTTCTAAAGACAAATGGTTAGAGGTTGGACCAGTGGCGGTTCTAGACTAAATTTACAAGGGGGACCCAGGATGTTTTTTTTAATGGGGGAAAAGAAAAGCATGAATTTGTCATTTAAAACAGGGGTCTTCAACGTTTTCCAGGCCAAGGACTCCCAATCTGATGGCGAGATGAAGCGGGGACCCTGTAATTATATATATTGCATGAAATTGTGTTATATCAAACTGGTCCTATAGTCACTCTATTACAGATGGAGTAAAGTAACAAAAGTAATTTCTCCCTGGGATTATTAAAGTATTTCTGATTCTGATTCCTGGTTGATGGGACAGGTGTTGTGAATGAAACGGTGACCAGCTTGAAAGAGCTCCTCTGTGTCGCTGAATGTGTGCATTGATGACTGAAAGACATCTTCTGCCTCCATTTATCTGTTTACTACAGTGTGTTTAATTTATGTTAATGTGTATTTGAATTTTTATTTTCTAAACTATATTTGAATCTGAAGAGGCCACGGCGCAGCGCTATGACATAACCGGCCGAAGAATCTGGCCTTCAGAAGACGCAGCAACTGGATCCAATTCTGAGGTCCAGATCAAGACCAACACCATATTAGGTCTTGGTCTCAGTACTCCTTGGTCTGGCCTTTAAATCAACACAAATTTTTGGCTTAAAAAAAAAAAAAAAAAGTTTAGTTCACTTTTCCTTAAATTAAAAATCTACAATTTGGGAAAAAAAGTAATAGAAATATTTAGTTGCTAAATACAAATCTACCAAATGATCAAATAAAGGTATTTTTTTGGAATATCAGGACAATCTAAATTCACAATTCAGGAATATTACATAGTATTTACCTCATCTTAAATGAAAATGACCAGTTTTAACCGATTTATAAGCAAAACTTAATTGAAACTGAACACTTCTGCTGTAATATAGTATATATTTTTAAAAAATGTTTTAAAATAAAATCTACCAAGGGAAAACTGTGATCCTATCTCAGTACGACCGATTCTATCACCGTAATTTGTTTATCATAATTAAAATAGAATTGTAAAATAATAAATGGGTCCAGGGGACTTCTCAGTCACTATGACCGTTCCAACGCAGATCATAATCAGAATTTTTTTCGGGGGGATTTATGTTGTCAATACAGGGGCTAGGACCAGTTCTACAGGGACACCATAAGATAGACCTCATCTAATGTTCAGAAACGATTTTTAATCCAATGGGCATCATTGTTCCAAATAAGCAACAAAGCCTTTGTATTACATACACAGTAAAGATAGCATGTTCATTCCCACGGTGCCAGCTTTTACATTCAGTGTGGACCCAGGAACTGTTGCAACTGGTTCCTGACAGTGTATGTATCATTGACCAAATTTGTTTTAGAATTAAAATAAATAGAAAGTTAAAAAAATTTCAATTTGGCGAAAGTCTATATTATATATATATATATATATATATATATATATATATATATATATATATATATATATATATA